TAAGGAGACTGCATGTAGAGATCTGAATGATTTTTGTACACTTAATTGTGGAAACTACCATAGTCGAATGCTGCAGCGATTTGATTTATCAATTTCGATGACCGCAATTATATTGTAATCTGTTCATGTAAAATGATATTTTGCAATGACCACATTCATAGAACAAAGTTGAATTGCACGATTAAGCGCCCCAAATTAATCAAGTTGTTAGCATATATAGCTGCTTTATTCGTGACTAGTGTTTGTTGGTTGTTAAGCTTGAGTGGCTGAGTGCATAGTGAGTGAGACCCAAAATCTCTTGATTCCAGTAGGTCGCTTTTCGAATCCTGCAAGTAGCCGTGTTTTTGCTGATTCGAGGCTTATTTCTATTTTTTCTTAATTCACTTGGTTGAGCTGCTTTTGGGTCGTGTTCTTGCAAGTTTTCGCGAAGCGCAGCTTTGCCTCTGAGTAACTCATGTTTTTTAAGGTATAGCTTATGTTCTTTTCGGTTCGTTTTGATTGTTTGATTGGCCTAGTAAGCCTCTGAATAGTTGAACGGCTACAATTTTTTGAACATGTGAACCGCTAAAAATGCCTGGCATTCAGTGCACAAGAATTCATTGATAATTTTGATGTCAAATTGCAAAAAAAAACTCGTTTTCGTTTGGCTTGTTTTTTCTCCACGTAGATTGTATTTCGTTTCTATCTGCTGTTTAATTGTTTTGGCTACTTGTACATAAGCTGGATTTTGAATACGAATGCTCTTGTACACAAAATACTAACTTGGTTTTTATTTAAAGTTTTTTGACACTATCAGCTCAGGCAATTTTTGATTTTTGAAAAAGGTTCATTTAATTTTTCAATTTTACCTGAATCCGAAAACTGTGGTCCGAATTCTAGTGGGTTTGAATACCGTAAGCAGAACTTTTTTTGAAAACAAAATTATTTAAATTCTCGTATTTCACCGTTTAAAGTTCACTTTTACCTTTCCTACTTGTGTTTGCGATGTACAGTTGAACCTTAAAAGGATTTTTTTTTCACTTCATTTCGATTACATATTGGATAAGGTTGTTGTGTCAAGTGACGGTAAATTAAGTAATCAAACAAAATTTTACACATTTATGCAGCGTAGATGTATTGATATAAATTATTTTATTTACTCTAATAATCGTAGTAAAATATGCTTCTTAGACTCATTAGTTTATACGGTTGTGAGGAAAATAAAGCTAATTATGGGTAAAGGTTTGAATTTTTTCACTATAATTTGTTTTCACTTGATTTTGTTGGAACAATTTGTCTCGTCTCCTGATTGTTCCTATAGGGCTTATGATAATTCGATTTCATAATGGTGTGCAGGAACAAATCGACAAGGTCCAGAGAAAACAAAAACTTTGGGAGCTAAAAAATAGTATATTAAGCTTAGTTTACAATTTTAATTAGTTCAAATCGATCACCTGTCAGTTCATTTCAAAGTTAACCGTAAGATTTTGGGAAAATATCTCATTTTTGCCATCATGAAGTTCAATTAAATTTTTTCGTTTTAGCATGAAAGTCTTTTCTTCGAAATTTTTGTAATTTTCGGTGGATTTGCAAACCAAATTAGTAAATTGGATCTAAAAATTATTGTTGGTTTCTCCTGTAATTTTTTTGTCTCGAGGAAAACTTGCGTGGAGCTGTTGATGAAATTTGTGATTTTGATTGTAAGCTCTGCGACTTCGACAGCATCAAGCAACTGAATTTTTTACTCCACCCTGTTTAATGCAAAGCTCCGCTCTACCTTAAAATTGTGACTGAATGTTATTTTGATTGGGAATGTCTTTTTATTTTTAAAACAATCAGCTATCCTTGCAGTTGCAATCCCTCTGAAATTTGAAAAAGTGTAAGGAAACGCCCTAATTGAAGTTTACGCCAGAGTTATAGGTTTAACCGAGCTTCTAGGTAAATTTTTGGGCAATTATACTCGAAAATACTTACTAGCATTAGACATTAGAAGGATTTATAGTTATTTATAATCTTGAAATTTTACAGGAAAAATGAAATCTCTTCTATTCAATTAAAATTTATTGGTGTTTTTTTATATATAAATTCTCCTAAGCTCTTAGTGTTTTACTTTTCATACTACTTACGGTTTTATAGAAAAAAGCAGATATTTGTATAGCTAGAAAGATTTTTTTCGGAAATTCTACTCACTAAAATTATTACTCTAGGTTTTCGACTAATCTTTGTTAGCTGTTAATGTCAGTTAGACGATTTTTTTTTCCCAAAACATCAAACATGCTTAATTAATATAAATGGAAGAATGGCTGGATCTGAGCAATTTTAACACTGCAAAGATTGTTTATAATCATAATAAGCCTTTGGTGACTTTCAGACTTTAAGCTTAGAATTTTTTTTCCAAAAATGTGAAAAAAACTATGCATATATAATCCAAAACGTTTATGTATAAAATTACTCAGAATGATTGTTCTTTCGCTTTTTAAATTATTGTTTTCTGTTGCATCAAAAACCAATCGCTTTTAAATTACGGCTAACAGTGCTACTATACTAGTTGAATAGCCAACCAAAGAACCTATTATTAGTTGAAATACTAGAGAGACAGGAAGAACATGTAGAAACTAGGTCTTTGTGTGATGAACTTACATACATAGCACCAACCGATTATTTTGAATATAAATCTCTTAAAAAACAGGAGATATTGTTTTTTTTCTGGCACGAAGCATAAATCTGAAAAATTGTTACGCAAAAAAGCGTTGAACATCAAAAAATTCCAGTGTTTTCCATATAATTTTATTGCAAGTAATTTTTTACAATGTTGCTCTTTGAAACAATGAGCAACAAATTGTTTTTTCAAATGTTGTTTACAATGCATCAATGTACCTGCTTTGAATAAATTGATGAAATCATAAAGACATTGGAGAATAACTTGACATAAAACTTAGGAACTTTCAGTTTTTGTATCAATTTTTTGCTTGTCAAAGTTGTTGCTTATGTGGTAAGACTTATTTTTTTCTACAAAAAATTTTTGCAGAATTTTTTTTCGAGTATCTACCATGCCTCAATTAAAGCGTATGAAAATATAGGCTTCAAATTATTTCTGTATAATTTTAATAAGAAGTCTTTTGAGAAAAACTATGCTTTTTCTATTTTTGTAAACTCCATTCTATGATCACCAAAAAGAGCTAACTCATGTAGTTTTTGACTAATTCCATTCCTCATAAAACTATTAAACTTTAAAAAAAACTATGTTTTTTTGTTCCGAACATTGAAAGTGGGGAGAAACTTAGTATTCGGGTGTGTGTTAGTTTTTTTTTCAATTTTCGCGCAAACTCAGGTACCTCAAATATTCATTGGACTGCGTAGAGTGACACATCATATTGAAGCCCTTTCAGTTGTGATTCGAACCACTTTAAAAAATTTTCTCAGTGTCGAGAACAACTAATTTGAAATTTTTATTTTTCGTCTGAGTTCGCTCCAATAAAGCAAGCTAGCAGGCTTGAAACAGCTGAAGTATGCCTAGTTTAAGACATTTAAACTTAATTTTAAGCAAATAAAACTAGTTTTTGGAGTTTTTTAGCTTCATTTCAAAATCTTTCTGCAAAAATTTTGAAAACTTTTAAAATTTTTTTTTTAGTTTTCCTGGTCATTTTTCTACAAAAAATTTTGTGCAATTTGCCTACTTTACGATGACTGTCTAACATGCCTAAATTTTTTTTTTACGTCAGATCATTTATCACACCAAGGAGAAAAAACTACACTAATTTGGAAAAAAAAACTTTCTGAACCGTAGTTTTCTACAGATTATGGTCGGAACATTCTGTGCTACTTGCACAGTAACAGGCTATCCTTGTTTACAATTGTAAGTGATGAAGGTTTTCCGCTTCTGGGGGTCTCTCTGAGCCTAAAGATTCAGGATAAAAGTACTCGATGTCGCTGACCTCAGAAACAATAGAAAAAATTGCAACCTTTGAGGCTTTTAGAATCCATTGCGAAATTTTACCTCGAGTTATTTTGGGATCGCTTATGTAACTTGCGCCGAGAAAGTGTAATTGAACTCGACCAAAGTAGACGTCAAGCAAGTGTTCTATGTTCCGACCGATGGAAATGGGGAGGACTTTTTATTCGGTGTGTTTTAATTTTTTTCTTTGTTTTCCACGCAAAAACCGATACCCCAGATAATCATCGTATTGGATCAAGTAATACATTATATAAATTATATAAGGAGCCTCCCAGTCGTGATGCGAACAGCATGAAAAAAACTTAAAAATCGTTCCAGTATCGAGAAAAATTGGTTTGAACACTTTGAGGTTTAGTCTAATTTCGAGCGAGTAGCTGTATCGAGAAACGTTTGGGAAATAGAAATTTAGGCTGAGAAAACTTCCTTTGTGCTTCTCTAGCCATCACAACTTTCTTTAGAAGAAAAAGTAACAGCAGATAACTTTAGAAGCAGATAAATTTTTTAGAAGCAAAGAAAAGTAGAAAAATTTTCTGAAACTTTCATGCCTAATTGGCTAACTTTCTACGCGTTTGTGTAGATCCCTCATCACACCATGGACAAAAACAAAGGATCATAAAATGAAGAAAAATATAATAAAACTCTTTTTTTCGGTCGGAGCATTCTGTGCTAATTGCACAGCAACAAGCTATCCTCATTTTTGTCTGGGTTTGTAAAACCCATAAAGGGGACCAATCACGTCTGTTATAGAAGGTGTTGCGGAGGTTCCTGATTATTGAGGCCCAAACAGCGATTCGTGGTATCACATTTATTTACTAAGACGGTAAATTCTGTTTCGTAAAAGCTCACTGAATTCCAGGTACATCAAAGGCTAACCAAACCTTATCTCTATTTGAACTAAGGTAAATATTCTTAATTCAAGTGACTGGAATTAAACTTCGGTAAATTTGTTCAGAGTCAGTTTTAGATAACAGAATAAAACTTATTCGAAGTTTTAGTTTCAGCAACTTCAAAGTCAGTTAAATTTTGAAAAAAAAGCCATGATGAAGTTTCCTTGTTTGTTGGTAACCTCAATTCTCCTTTTGACACGCAGCTCAGGTAAACACATTTTTTAAAATTGGCTTGGAGTACTTTTTTTTTTACAAACGTTCACGTCTTTTCAGATGAGCATGCTCACGTGTTGCAAATTTTGGATCTACTTAACCATTATCCCCCCCCCCCCCCCCCACTTTCAAGAAAGGGGGGCAATTGTTAATTAGATTAAGTTGTAGAATTTTTGGGCAATCAGATTGCAGCAAAATTCGAATTTTAAAAGCAACGCTCTAGTGCTAATTTACTGCTTTTAATTATAGGGGCGGCAATTCTATAGTAGATACCAAAGGGAGGGCGATTGTTAAGTAGATCCCAAGCTTTAAGTAAAAATACATGAAAAGCAAGGAATTATTAAAACGATCAGATGAACCCGGGAATTCGAATGTGATCCCATGTGTAAAATTTAGTGAATCAATTTATCTTTTAAATCAACACATGGCTAGGGGAAGATTATAGGGTAAGTCATTCAGGGAGGGTAGTTCGTCGATTCACTTGATCGGTACACTTACTCTTGTATGGTCTTGCCATTTTAAGGCCCAGGTTAACCGTAATATCTCCCCCCAAATCATTTTATAGTGTTGCATGATACAAGTTCTTCAGAAAAAACTTTGAATATAGCCTCAATTGATCCAATCACCCAACAATTTTTTTCACAAGCGAACTAGTGTTATTTGACGAAATTTACACAATTTTTCTCAGCCCCAAGTATCTTATAAAAGTTGGAACCTGATCTAAACTATATTTTATGATTGGATAAATTAAATGTTTTACCAATGTAAAGTATTTAATATTAACCAATCATGATCCATCTAACTAACAACCCACTTATTTGTAAGTGCTGAAGTTACTTGTAATTTCAGCACCAGAGAGATTTGAATTTAACTTAGAAATTAGTTGGACTCTCCCGAGCACTTCAGCAGCCGCAATAAACCAGTATACCCTAGATCTATTGAGCCTAGCAGAGACTAGTTAAACAACCTGAGACTAGATAGTATAAGAGTAAGATTAGGATCGGTATTAGACTAAGAAGTTGCACGAATCTATCCGGCCGAAAATAAGATAGCGTGACGAGCAGACGGTGTACCCTATCCGAAATTACTCTATGAGTTACACTCCAGTCCTAACTCAAAGTGCTAACATTGAGGATTTTATGCTATATAAGAAATGATAATTTAATAGCAGCTGTTCATTTACTGCTGGCTACAAATTTCAAAATTTCATAAAATCAAGGGAATATTGGGCAGATGCGCGAAGGAGATTTTTAATCTGCAGGTCGGCGGTTTGATTCCGCATACGGAAAAAAAATTGATTGTCACAGTTTTTTCCTAACTTTTTTTCCTTATTCATTTTTCTATGTGTCAACTTCTCGATTGTAGCTACGAAGTACAGCTTCCCCTATGTTTGAAAAAAAAATTTAGTTGTTAATTATGTAATTAACAGAATACAGATGCAACCCCATAATAATTTATTAGCCAATTTAGTTTGCACATGTTGTTCAAACTGCAAATTGAGAAGGAATTAAAACTCAAACTTAGTGAATAGCTAGGGGGCTGCACCAGTGACCCAAAGCACTCATTTTTTGCTTGGGTGTACTTTTTTATCAGATTATTGTCTAGAGTTCACGTGTGCGCGTTTTTCGATTTTCTTTTGCTATACCCATTACGAGGCCAAACTGTGCTCTGGATAGGCGCACAATTTGGTGTGTGCAAGTCTCTGAAATCCAGTACACAGATTTGCATCGTAATGTCGTGAAGGGCTCCATTCGCACTTAGAATCACATATAAAAAATTTGCGCAAGCTAAATGAGTTGGGTAACTAATTTTCATCAAAAAATAAAAAACATCAAAAAATAAAAAACAGACTTATCAGCATTAAGTTTATGCCATTTGCACGTCTTCTAAATAAAAATTGAACACCAAAATAGTAAAGATCAAAAATACAACGAAAAAAGATCAAAAGTACTGAGAATAAATCTGAAAAATTTTACACAAAAAAGCGTTGAACATCAAAAATTTCAAGTCTCAAATGATTTTTTTTTGCAATAATTCATAACATTTCTTTCTGTTCTTTGAATTGTTGTTTTACAAGGCAGCAATCTAATTGGTATGAATGAGTTGAAGAAATCATTAGGGTATTGGAGATTAAGTTGATATAACACTTTGGAGAAAACAAGAATTTTCGTTTTTTGCATCGGTTTGATGCTTGCCAAAGTTGTCGATATAGTGATAAAATTTAATTTTTCTTCTAAAAAATTTGTGTAGAAATTTTTTCGAGCATCTGCCACGCCTCTATTCAAGCGTATGAAAACAAAGGCTTCAAATACTTTCTGTAGAATTTCAACAAGAAGTCTATCGAGAAAAACTATGCTCTTGAGACAGGATTCCGTTTACTTTTGCGGTTTTTTACAAAGTTAATCGAACTACTCATGAAACTCCATAAACCACTTTGAAAATCCAGCATATTTGATTCTTGGGTTATAGAACAGGTTAATTGTTCCCAATCTGAAAGATTCATCATTATTACAGTTGATAGTAAGTTTGCTGGGTCAACATTAGTCAAAAGAAATGAAAATTTTCTCGAACTTTTCATTCAACACTTAAGCACGATCCGCTATTGCAGTATCGTCAGCTGGAAGATTGATTTTTGCGAAAATTTGGCAATGTCACGTTTATATAACAAAATCAAAAAGCGGTCTTGCGACTAATATTTGCGGAACAACAAATCGGCAGTGAATTCGGTATCAATCTTTCTATTTTTCAAACTGCACTTTATAATCAGCAATAGGAGCTACCTCGAATAATTTTAATCTATATCTTTTCTAAAAAAGTTACAACCTTTGAGTTTTTTTAAATCCATCGATTCATTTTACCTCGAGTTGTTTTAGGATGTTTTAGTTTTTTCTTTTTCTCACGCAAAATCAGGTACAACATATGATCATCGGATTGATACGATTGATACATCAGATAAAAACTCTTCCAGCCGTTATTCGAATGATTTTAAAATTTTTCAAAAAAACATTCCGGTATCAAGAAAAACTGGTTGGAACACTTTGAGATTTATTCTAATTTCGAGCGAGTAACCTGATCAAGAAACGTTTGCTTTATAGAAGCCAGACGTTAAGGCTGAGAAAATTTGAATTTTCTGGACGAAAAATTTCATTTGAAACTTTGTTTGTGCTTTCTTAGCCATAACAACTTTCTTAAAAATGAAAATTGTTGAGCAAAGAGTACTGGAAAACAATTTTAAAATTTTTTTTAAATAGATTTTTTAGAAAATTTTTGAAACTTTTTGAAATCAAATCTGAAATAACAAGTTCAATCGAAAAAAAGGTTGTGCGAATTTTTCCTGCAGTAGCGGCTACTCCTCAATTTTTTGTCAGAGTAGTGTTAATTCTTTGTGAAAATTCCAAAAACTTAAAAAATTTCACTCTTCTCAGTTAATTTAGTAGAGAAACAAATAACGTTTTGGACAAAATCTAATTTTTGAAATTATGCGTATCTTCCCGCATCAGTATAACAAATTTGAAAAAGATCAAACATAACACGTACCTCCAGCTTTAGCTGGGTCCCTATTTTTTTTATCGAGACATGAAAAGTTTGTTTCACCTAGTTTTTTTCATTATTTGAATTTTTTCGACTCATGTTTTTTAAATGTTTGTGTTGTATCGCAAGTGGTGCGAAGCTCCGCTTCGATTCTATGTCAAACTTGAGTCAAATTTGGGTCAATTTCTGATAAAATTTAAACTGGATAATAATTTTAACAATCACGAACAAAATCTGAAACTGGGGATTAAAATAGTCAAATTTTGCTTTGCTTGGAAGACGCTAATAAGGCAGATTGGGGGGGGGGGCTTCCCTTAGGGATTTGACCCCACGCCAAGCCAAAGGATCCCCCTTTCTACTATTTTGAGATATCCATTTTTGGTAGACGGACCCCAAAATGTTCTGAAGGCGCACTAGACGCCAATCTATGTTAATTTTGAAGGGGAAGCGCATGCCGAAAAAACGCGACTTTTTTGTCAAAATTTTCCAAAACGTGTCTAAAAACGCTTTTTTGGCTGTTTTTTTTTTTTCAAAAATTTGCCTACGGCGTAGAGAGTTTTGTCTTTATATGAACTGGGAGTGCTCGGAAAATTAATTGTTAAATACTAACAATTAGCCAATACAAATTAGCCTAGCCGGCTAACAATTAGCCAATACTAAATAGTGCTGATAACTATTTAGCCGATTTGAATTTAAATATCACAAATTTTAGAGAGTAAAAAATTCACCCTTTGTGAGTTCGCCCGCCTACTGGCCACAGAGTATTCGACTCCAGCGGACACGCCCTTGGATCTGTTGAACTGGATATGCCTGGCTTATCATGAGTCAGCACTGGACACTGCAGCTACCAATAACAACACGAATGGCAGTCGTGACTACGGGATATTCCAAGTATGCGACTTTGGCTCTTTTCCACTACGAAGAAAAAACCTAATAATTGGAACTTTCTGTGCTAATGGCACAGCAACCAGACACAATTAATTACTTAGCACTTACCAAGAGACTTTCATGTCTATTGACTACTTAGAAGTTTGCTAAGAGGCAGGGGTGGATCTAGGATTTTCTCGAGGGTGGGGGCGCGGATTTTCAAAAAATTTGGAAAAGACCTTTTTTTTAGTTCGACCAAATTGATTTTCTGAGCTCTCCTAAATCACTATAAAGGCCCCATTTTTACACAATTTTGTGCGCCGCAAGCAATTTTTTGAAAAAACAGGCCAAAAAAGGCGTTTTTAGGCACTTTTTGGAAAATGTTGACCAAAAAATTGCGTTTTTTGACCAGAAAAATTTTAGGGTCAGTCAGCCAAAAATGGATATCTCAAAATAGAACAAAGGTGGGATCCTTTGGGTTGGCAGGGGGTCGAATCCTTAAATCCACTGGTGCTTAGAGGTTTTAATGCCGTGCAGGGGCGGATGTAGGATTTTCTCGAGGGGGGACGCGGATTTTTGAAAAAAAATTTCGAAAATTTTGTCGACCGAATTGATTTTTGAGCTCTCCCTTAGCATGGTTTAGTCCCTTTTTTGGCAACATTTTTTGCGCCGCAGGTAAAAATTTGAAAAAACAGTCCAAAAAAGGCGTTTTTAGGCACTTTTTGGAAAATCGGTTGGCCAAAAATGGATTTCTTAAAAAGTACCAAAGGGGGGACCCTTTGGGTCGGCAGGGGGTCGAATCCCTGAGGGGGTAAGAGGCGTCCGCCCCCCCCCCCCGCCCCTACCCCTAAATCCGCCCCTGATGCCGTGTATTTTACCCGCTGCCAAGAGAATGATGGCGCTTGAAGACAAGATATCTTTTAACCAATTTTTTTTCCAAACTTGTTTTTCTTTTTTGATTTTCTCGCAAAAATAATTACAACTAGATCTTTAGGTGCTAGCTCTATCGCAACCGACTACCATTGATAACTGAAAATCATAAAAACTGATTCCTTAAAATTTCAACGCTATAATTCCTTTTCAACGTTTTTTGTTCGTTCTGTTTTTTAAACGTTTTTTTTCACATGTTTTTTTTCTGTGAAACGTTTTTTTTTAATATTTGAGATCAACAACGACTTTTGGTGCGATGACGATCGAGGAACGAACGACTGCTCAGTGGCCTGTTTGCAACTCCTGAATCCTAACATATCGGAGTCTGTCAAGTGCGCGAGGAAGATCTTTGCCAGACATGGGTTCGAAGCCTGGTATGGGTGGCAGCAACACTGCAAGGGCAAAAGTGAACATCAGCTGATGAAAAAGTATTTTAATGGATGCGTCCTCTGATAGAGCAAGCCGGATCTGCAAATTGAACATTTATGCTAGAATTATTTAGTTTATAGTTGAAATATAACGGGCTTAAGGTGCTCAAGTACTTTGATCAAACATGATGCAAAATAGTTTTTATTCTTAAGATTATAAGATTTTGAGAAGCGCATTCGATCAAACAGTTTCGAAAAGCTCTCAAAGTTTCTTCTTGATCATGTTTCTGCTATCCGTAACCTTTGGAACCTTGATTTTTTAAAGCTAATTTGAGCGAGAGTTTGCTCGAGTTAAGGTCGGTAGCCCCTGAAGCTAGTTCTTTCAGAGGTCGATTGCCTTGATTCTGTGAGATTTTCCTCTTCAAGTGAGACCAAGAAGCGGAAAGAGAAACTGACCAGATGTGAACACATGTTTGAAGTGGTGTCAAAAAATGCAAACAGACACTAATTTGAAGCGCTGAATTATTTTGGCAATTCACCGCATTGCCAAAATTTTTCAGCGCTTTAAATTGGTGTTGTTTGCAATCGCTGACCCGACTCCAAACATGAATTCAAATTTGGTCGGTATCTCCTTTTGGTACCACTTTCTTCCTGTCTCTGCTGTAGTCCTGACTGTATTCCAGTTATTTAGAATAACGATCGATAGCTACCAAAACTTTTTTCTCACTCATTCATTAGCGGTCCGGCAAATTCAAATTAAAACCCTTGATTTCGCGATCAAATTTTTTGCAAAGGCATAGAAGAACTTTAGACTTTCTTTGTTTTTGAAATTTGAAATTTGAAATACTTTACCATTTAAATATACAACGCCAAAAATATATATTTTGCCTGGAGGGAGATCCTAAAGAGCAGTATTGGTCATCGAGTAGGATATCCTGGAGAGTAAAGAGAAGACAGCCATCATCAACTCAACAAACAAATTACTTTAAGGACTGAAGTTAAAAAACAGTTTGTAGAGGTCCTGGTTGTCTTTTAGGTAAATTTGAAAAAACTGTTTATAGAATCTCAATTAACTAACTTGTGACATTTCATGTATATTACCGGTATCAAGTCATTTTGTTTTGAATAATTAATATCCTGCACAATTTTAACTGTAAGCGATCTCTGATTAGCGGTAGTAGAAAAATTTCTCACTTTAATTACGCCTTTCGCTTTGCTCCTGGTACATGGTCCACTTTTTTCGGAGTAAACCTAAGACAGAAAACCATTTTTTTTGTCCGATCGCAATTCCATAAACAATTATTTAAACATCTCAAAAAAATATAAATCATAAATCGTAAGCAATCTGTTTTCGTCCATAATTTCCTTGATTGATTCATATCTACGTTTGAAAAAAAAAGCTCATAAGATTCTTCTTTGTAGTTCGGTAAGGTGAGATTGGGATGTATTGTCGTATAATAAAATTCCATAAGTGATTGTAGGAATTACGTATGCTTACTAGAAGCGAAGCATTTACTGATTAGAAAAAACATACCTAGCTTTCCAGACAGTGCCACAAAATTTGGTGAATTTTTTGCACACATGTTCAATGTGAAATTTGAAAGTAAATATCTAATCGAAAATTGCCTAAATATTTACACACATTTGTAAACTGAACTGAAGAACCAAAAGCAAAGTAACCTATTGAAAATTTACTTCCAAATTTAATTTTTTGAGTTTTACCTTGGTTGACACAAAGTCCATTGGTTTTAACCATCTATCCACTTTATTTAAAGAGCTATCAATGCTATCGCTAATTTTTTCTTACTGCATTGCATATTGTAGTATCAACAGCAAATAGAACAACCTCAGATCCTTCAGCATTTTTCGGCAGATCATTTATATGTATTAAAAACAAAAACGGACCTAAAACCGACCCTTGCGGTACTCCACATGACATAGAGTGACTGGAAGATATTTTATTTCCAGTTTTAACAAATTGAAACGGGTTTGTAAAGTAATTTTTCAGAAGACAATGAAGCCGGCCTCTAAAGCCCTATTTTTCCAATTTTGCCAAAAAAAGCTCATGATTTATTGTATCAAATGCTTTTTTGAGATCAACAAGGCTTGATCGACCAACAAATTTTTCGTCCCATCCCTATCTAATAAATTCGGTGAGTTTGATTAATGCGGACACGCTTGACTTTTTTTTGAAATCCAAACTGTTTTTCATAATAAACCTTAACTGAACAAATTTCAAACACAATTCCAGATCCAAACCAACCATTCTATGCAATGTGCGATGCTTCAAATTTTGGCATCGGCGCAGCATTACTACAATCACATAATAGTACAAATAAAATGAACCTTATATCAGCAAATTCCCGATTATTCACTCAAGCAGAGCTACGACTCTCAAATCTAATGAGAAAATGTACGGCTATAATTTATACACTTACAGAATATGAATTTGTGATACTTGGATCAAAACACCCAACAGTTCTATTCAAAGATCACAAACCAATTATTTTTCTCTTTACACAAAAGTCGAATCCAAATCATAGAGTTTATAGATTTCAACTAATTCTAATGAAATTTCCAAACTTACATATAGTTTGGACAGCAGGAAAAAACCTTGCATTACCAGATACATTAAGTAGAAATACGCCACCTGAACTACTCACACGAAAAACTACAGTTGAAATACCACAAAATATTAAATTTTATCTCGCAAAAGATGAAACATCACCCCGATTAGAATGCAAATACGCAGTAAAAACTGATATTGATCAATCACAGATAAATAACCTACAACATTTCCCACTCTACTTAGATTGCCAGAATAATCACTACGAAGTTGACTTACTAGGAACATCAACTTTTAAACCAATTCCATACTCACAATGGATAAAAAATAACACTCAACAAAAAAGATTAAAAAACCACCTGTATAAAAAAGACCTTTTTCCCTTAATTGAAAAAGAAAATCTAACTGATAAAATAAATTTATCAGGACCACAAACAAATGATTCAAAATACACAATAAATCAAGTTTTTGACCTCCATGACCCACTTGACACAATTTCCCTATCAAAACTGGAAATTGAAAATATTTTTCTCCCTCCAACAGAGAAAATTACAATTGAACTCTTAAAACAATATCAAAACCTCGATCCAGTAATAAGACAACTAAAATCATGGCACAAATACAAAACTGAGCCCGTAAAAACAGATACCACAATTTTAGGAAATAAAACACTCCTCCGATATTTCCGAAAATTGAATAACACAGCAATCAATGACATTACAAATCTTTTAGAATATCAATTAGATGATTCTAAAATTCCCTGTCTTCCTTTAAGTATGATATTAATAGCTTTAAACATCTCACATACACAAAATACTACTAAAGGACACTCCGGATCAGAGAAAACATACTCAAACTTAACACAAAACTTTTATTTCCCAAATGCATCAATTTGGATAAAAGTATTATGCAATGATTGTGTAGTATGTCAACTAAATAAACCTTATCCAAATCAAAAACAAATAGCACGAAAACAAGATTTTAAAGGACAAAGTTTATATTTTAACCATCGCATTTCATTTGATACAAAAGGACCCATTTCACCATCCTCAGAAGGAAACTCCTACATGATGGTAATTGTTGACGCATTTACACATTATGTAGCACTCAACCCGGTACCACATTGTAATGCTTATTATGCTTACACGACACTTTATGAACACTGGATAGCTAAATTCGGATTACCCGAAATCTTAGTTACAGACAACGGTACAGAATTCATAAATAATGATATCATAACACTATGCCACTTATATAACATCAAACATAAACCACGTACATCTCATGCACCTTGGACAAACGGTTTAGTCGAAGGTATGAACCGTTCACTACAAGAATATCTCAGATGTATCATAAATGGAAATGATACAAAATACACAGAATGGTCAGCAGATGTAAAATTATTTCCCTTAGCATATAATTCACAAATCACGACAACTCTAGGAATGTCACCATAAGAAATGGTTTTTAATCAAAAACCACGTAAACCAATTATGTTTAATGCAATTTCTCATAAAAAAGCACAAGGTTATTGCCAACCAAATAAAGACTCAATTTGTTATAACCTACCTTTACACAAACATGATGAAGATCATTTTCATCACCCCCAAATTTTTAAATTAGCCTCCGGCACACACACCGAATAGATTTTAAATAGAGATAAAAAACACAATGAAATTTACCAAAAAACACCAAAAAATTGTTACAAAGCAAAATAATAACGACCAAATTAATTCACGTTTTACACCAGCCACAGACTTAAAAATTGGAACATTTGTCTTAATACCTAATTTTAATACACAAAAAGGAATTTCTAAAAAATTACAACCCCCTCGTAAAGGACCATACCAAATAATTGCCAAACCCACTGACGTCACGTATAAACTCACCGATTCAAATCAAAAAGAAATTGTTCGACATCGAAACAATCTATTGCCCTACTACCCAAAAGAGTACGCACTACGCGAATTAACTCAATTATATTCTTTCACAGGTTTAAAAATTATTCAAAATCATCCACATACGGAAAAAAAAGTAGGTGAACAACACAACATTCATCATGAAAAACAAAATACAAAACCAACTACAATTCAAAACAATACAAAAGCACCAGATCAAAAAAAACCTCAAAAAGAAAAAAAAAATAGGAAAATGATAGAAAAAATTCTACCACAAGAACAAGTAGAGAAATCAGAACATAGAGAATCATCACGACTTAGAAATCAACCACGTAAAAACTACAAAACGTTCATCCCACAATCTAAAATATTAAGAAAGTTGAATTTCAAAAACAACTTTAATTTTATAATTAATAATCCTTGCACCTCTGGATCATATTGAACTTTCATTTTTCAAAATAACATGCTGACAAAACACGCAACAATTCTAGTTCAAATTCAGCCAATAGGATTCATTCAATCCGTCACCTTCTATAACTATAACACCAACCAAACTCCAGGCATATCTATAACTATAACTTTACAACCTCCAGGTCAAAAATAAGCAAACCGCTCAAACTTGACAACTAAAATAAATACCAACATAATATCATAACCCTACCTTATCTAATAACGCAAAGATCAACAATATTTTCACAACTTAGACCTCAAAAAACCTCCAACCAAAAATGATAA